TCCCCACCACGCACCAGGCACCAGCACAGCGAGGGGAGAACCCTGCCCTGCCCCCCCAGTTTGGGGTGAGTCAAGCCAGGGTAGGGCAGGGCTTCCCCTCCCTGCTGACTAACGTTGGTCCTGGGGTGATGCCACCTCGGGGTGACACAGCTTTTGGGGTGGAAAACGCCCTGAGGGGGGAGTTGACCTGATGCCCTGGTGATGGGCTCCCAGATGAGAGGTGGGTGGATGGATCTGACCCCACTCACAGCCTCAAGGCTTGAAGGTGGGTGATGGAGGGGATACAGATCAGGCAGGAGCTCTTAGAAGAGGATGGGCAGACCCCATCCAGCCATGCCATCCCCTCTCTGGCTCCTCACACCCATCCGTCTCCATCTCCCTCCTGCAGGAGGAAGACACAGGGAAGGGAAGGCAAGGGAGCATCCATGCGAGGCTGAAGCACAGGGGATGCATTTCCAGGGGGTATTGGGGATATTTGGGAACCAGGTACTATGGGAGCTGCACAGGGGTAGTGTCCGTATCTGCTTCCCAGCCCTGGAGGTGGGAGAGCAGGAGGGGGAAGAAAAGAAGGGAGGGAAGGGGGAAGAAAGGAAAGGAGAGAAAGAGGAAGAAAGAAGAGGAAGGAAAAAAAAGAGGGAAGAAAGAAAAAAAGGAAGGAGGGAAGGGGAAAGGAAGGAAAGGAGGGAAAGGGAAAGGAAGTGAGGGAAGGGAAGAAGGAAGGAAGGGAAGAAAGGAGAAGGAAGGAAAGGAAGGAAGGAGGAGGGAAGGGGAAAGGAAGGAAAGGAGGGAAAGGGAAAGGAAGGGAGGGAAGGGAAGAAGGAAGGAAGAAGGGAAGAAAGGAGAAGGAAGGAAAGGAAGGAAGGAGGAAGGAAGGGAAAAGGAAGGGAGGGAAGAATGAAGGAGGAAGGAAGGGAAGGAGGAAAGAGGAAAGGAAAGAAAGGAGAAATGGGAAAGGAAGAAAAGGAGGAAGGAAGGAAAGGAGGAAGGAAGGCAGCAAGCCCCATCCCCACTTTCTAGGGCAGCACAGGAGGGACAGACACTGCATTTGGCCGCCCCATCCCTGGGGAAGACGGAGACTCCCTTAATTTAGCAGCAGCTCCCCACAGCCCTGTTTCTGCTGTCGGGAAGCAGGACACAGCTCCCAGCCACCAGCACCACCACAGAGCCCGAGCGATGCTTTCTGCTTTTATTCAATTAATGCAGCAATCTATACAAGGGAAAAAACCCCAAAGTAATAATAATGAAACGGTGAAATTCCAACCCCCGACAGCAAAGAACCAAATTCTTCCTCGGAACCAACCGGAATCCAACGATTCCCCCCTGTCAGACTGTACATAAAATAATCTCTGCCCCATTTACAGCGTTTCACACAGTACTTCTCGTATCTCAAACGTCTCAACTGTACAACTTTGATACAAACCAACGCTTTTTCCTAGGAAAAGCTTCCGGAAAAAAATATTGCCACTTTCTTTTTTTATTTCTTTTTATTTGTAACAAAAAAAAGGGGGGGGGAGAAAAATTAATTTCTTCAAGAAAAAAAAGCCTAAATTAAAATCAGCCAGAACTTTCAGTGTGGGCAAGGGTGGGGAAAGGAGCTGAGATGCTTCTCAACTGAGTATTTCTCCTTCCCACTAGGAAAGGGATTACTTTTGGCAGGTAAAAGACTATTTGCTGCTGGTGGGGTCCAGACCTGGGTCCCCCCAATGCCCTCCTCAAAGCATATTGGAAGTGGATCAAAAGATCCACAGGGCAAGCGCTGGGTACCAACAGCTTCAAAAGGCAGAGATCCGAGCTCTCATCCCAGTGGATGACCACCCCCATGAGTGATTCTTTGGGATGAGCCAAGCCTGTCAGGATGACAGCTCTCTCCTAAAATCTGGATGAAGGTTCACAGCAAGTGTGGAACCAGATGTGGCAACAAGCCGGGCTCTGCCTGCAGCTCACCTCTTAGTGCCAGCAAACAGCCCTTCCTATGGACACAGTGAGCCCACACCATGGATGTAAGAGCTTCAGTTCCATCCCTGGGCCTCCTCAAGATACAGGTAACAGTGACAGATCCCAATTCCTCCTGCTCTTTGCAGAGAACAGGGAATGGAACTCACCAAAGGAGGGATGGACCCCACCAAAGACAGGGACAGACCCCACTTTATTCCCCCTTCCTTAGGAAAGACAGTTCTCATGGTCTGGGCTGTGGGTGTATGGGATTGTCACACTGAACACAGCCTAATTCCCAGTTTCGGGATGAGCAGGTTACACCAATGACACGCTGTGGGTGGATGGAGAGGAGGTGGGACTGCACGACTGGACTAAACAGATACGATAAAGCCAAAGGGGTCAGGTCTGTGCATGAGTCTGGGGAGGAGTTTTGCCTCCGAACTGGAGCTCACCACACTCCATCCTTCACACCAGACCCATGGCAGCAGCCTGACCCGAAGCCCAACACTGCCAGCGACAGAAGAACAGGGATGGGCATCACCAGTATTAGAGCTACAGTTTTCCAGGTAGGTTATAGTAAGGGATCCAAACATCTGGATCCACATGAAAATGTGTTTTGAATCAGGGTTTCACTCTGCTGTTGTTCAGTGCAAAAGAGTTAAAAAACGATGTTATCTACACATATACATCTGTGTCTATAGAAAATGTCTGTACAAGAGGGGAAGGTGGCCTGCCCACACGCTGGGGACACCCAGGAGATGCTACAGGTCAGACTGGTTGTGTCCCATTCTCTCTCCAAGGTGTCAAGCCCCAATCAACCAGGTGGAAAACACATGAGAAAAGAATGGTTGGAGTGGTGAGGAGCTCCTCTTACCCCTCCAACCACTGGTGCCAGCTCAGACCCACTGCAGGGATGTGGGGTAGGGAGGAAGGATGGAGGGGAGAGCTCCCAACCATGGCCTGCAGGAATACAGATGCAAGATGGGAGAGGAAGGATACTTGCACACATACAGACTGGATGAGGTGATGATACCAGTCTAGAAGATGTAAGTTAGGCTGAGGACTAAGACCTCAGGATGCCTTGTTCAGCCTTCAGTGGATATACAGCCAACACCTCATCCCATGGGAGTCCTGCTCTGGAAAGCAGCCCCGGAAAGCCAGGCTGCCTCCAGCTTCAAGCTGACACCAGGATGCAGTATCCCTATTGCAGAGGTAGGTGTGGACCTGGGAGCTGGTGGGGGAGAGCAGGTTGTGCAGAGCCTGGCAGTGACCACTGCCACCGTCAGCATCACCCACAGCAGACCTGACACCGAGGAGAGCATGGGGCACATCCAGGATGAATCCAGAAACACAACTGGAAACAGGCATCGCAGGCATCCTGCTAGGAGGTCCCCAGCTCGCTGGAGATGTTTGCACCAGCCATAAGGAGGAGAAGGGATCGCTGCTCCCTGCATATGGTTTTGCTATCAGGGGAATGCCAAGCTTTCCAAAACAGTGGGTTTGCAGCCAAGAGCTGGCCTGGATTCTCTGCAGAAAGCCGGGAGGGTGAGGAACTCCCCTTCAGATGCTAAATGTGGTCTGGAAATGGGGTTTTAAAGGTCTCAGAAGCAGCAGAAGCAGTAGTTTTCAGATCTCTGGGTAGACAAGACAGGTTGTTTCAAAGGCTGGGTGCGAGGCTGCGCCTATGCCTCTGCATGGAGCCAACAGTGGCTCCCACCAGGAAACCAACCTGGTAACAAGAGACAGGCAGTGAGAACCTCACCACAGATCAGCATTGTGCTGGGGTGTAGTCAATTCCTCTGTATTAATATGACCATTAGATCCAGCCTGAACAGTGACCCCAACACCAGGAGAGTGGCAGGAGCTACAGAAGTCAGTGGGGAAGGAAAAGGACATCAAGACCCAGATGTCAGCAAAGAGCTTGCCAAGGAACAGCACTGCAAGGAACACCACATGGTTGGTGGGGGTTGACTGGGAGCCCCTCAAGACAGCAGCAAACGGGTTTCAAAATATATTACATCTTTTTATTGCCAAGCGTGCGGACCATGAAGTGTGTGAGGGACACGACACTAAGAAAAACTACAACTGGAAGGAGGGCAAAGCAGTAGGGATTTAAAAAGAAGACTACTCCTTACAACTGCCAACACTTGGGTTCAAAGAATCAATTGGAGGAAGTCTCTTAAAAGTACGGTTCTAAATATGCTGTTGGGCCCCAAAGCTTTGGAAACACACTGAGGCTTTGGTCTGGGCTAACGCAAACCGGGTGGGAAAGGAGGAAGGCAGCAGACTCTAACACTAACTCCATGGGGCCCAATGCCTGATTCTTCTCTGTGGCAAGCAGAAAACTCCCTGCCCCAGGAATAAAGCCAGGAGGAGGCTGGCAACCACTGCTGAATGCACTGAACTCAGGCCAAACGTAGACCCTCGCACTGTCCCCGCTCCCAGAGCCAGCCTTGGAGGGGACACTCTGCAGCCGAGCTGCCCGAGGCCATGGCACTGCTGTTCCTGCTCCATCAGGGTGCATCCCTTGGGATGGGATGCTGCATCATCTCAACTCTCTCCAGCTAAAGGGGCAGGGGGATGAAAGCCAGTCCCCCAGGCATGGAGAACAGCTCTTCTCAGGGGGTCCCAAGGCAAACGTCCTTCACAAGCACAGCAACTCTCCTATTCCTCTTCGCTATCCCCAGCTCTGGGAAGCAGCATGTACTCAATGTGATCACTCACCCAGCAGTCCCAGGGCTCCAATATGGACCTGGGGCCAGCCTCACTGAAGCCAGCCACGTTTCCTTCTTCCTCAACCAAAACACGCTCCTTATCAGACCAGCACTGAGAAACCAGAGCTCAAGTACATTCTTCTCGGAGAGGGCAGCACAGGGACTGTGCGAGCCCACGCTGGCTTGGGAAAAGGGACTGGAAAGGAAACCTATGTTAAAACTGGTACTAAAGTGCAACAAAAACGTCCTAAACCCTTTTGAAATTAACCACAGGAAGAGGGGTCTGCAAAGCTTCAAACTTCCAGTTACTGCAGGGCACCCTTAAAACAAACCCAACAACAACCAGGTAAGAGCAGACCAAGGAGCCCTTTGGTGAAGCAAATCCGAGGCCACCGCAGAGGGTTTCAGCTCCTGGGGTCAAACATTATATTTAGAACATGTGGAAAGGAAGAAAGTTAAAGCAGAAAAAAAAAAGAAACAAAACCAAAAATACAATTCTTGAATCCTGCACAACGAAACAGTGAAACTTTTTGGTGTTTTCAAAAGAAATCCCAACAGACAGCCTGGCATAACTTTATCTGTTTCCTAAGGGAAGAGATGCCCGTTTGACCCCATGACTCAGGGCACCATGTGCACTGGACATGTTCCATCCTTCCGTATGTCTCAGCATTCCTCCATTCATAAAACCAAATCACTAGGATCCTTCCTGTTTACTCTTCAGCCTGAAAGGAAAAACCAAAACTGAAGCTAGATGGAAGATAGCCAGAGGGAAGAGAAAGTTTTCACAGACTGGAGGCCAAGCAGCTCCACTATGAGCCTGGAAAGTGCAATCCTCAGTGTCGCCTCATTTTAACTTTCCTGGCTGGGCTTCCATCCTCCTCTTCCTCGTCACAGTCCTCCGTGTACTCGTAAGACCTTCGCCAATAGTTCTCCGAGCTGAAGTTGCTCCTTCTCCTATGTTTCGGTAAGAGGACTGAGCGCCTGTTCTCCTCTTTATCCATTTCTAGAATCCGTGGCCTATGGAAAAAGAGAACGAAGGGAGCGTGAGCACAGCCACGGCAGGATTTCAGCATTCCTCCTGCAGTTTTGCATGCTTTGAGCGCTGTGACTGACTGTTTCCACATCGCTTTCCCAGCCCTGGGCACTCAGCAGAGTAGGAACAGATCACCACATTGCACCTCCCACGGGGAAGCTGGGAATTGTGCTTTTGATGGTGCAAGTCTTTCCGTTTCCCAGAGCAAGTTTTGGTCTTTACCTCCACCAGAAACATTTCCAAATAGTCCAGTCGCCTCTTTTTAAGTGCAGTTTGTGGTTTCAATAAACATCCCTAGGGAAAAAGGGTCTGTCTCTCCTATAGGAGAACTCACAGCACGGAGCTGACCTTCTTTTTAAGCTGCTGGGGTGCTTGTGGTGCAGGATCAAACCACAGCTCTGAGCTCCTTTGTCCTCTCAAACATCAGCACAGTGCAATTGTTATTTCTACAAAGCTGCCTCTGCTCTCGCCTGTGATTGCTTCATAGCAGGACCAGGCTGGTGGGCTGCACACACCAATTATTATATCCTAGACGGCAACTGCTGAGTTCCTCTAAGAGACACCACTACATTATATCCTTGCTGTTTACCTGATGTTATACTTGAGGTTTTGAGGCCAAAGGAGGAGAAAAACAGGCTTTTGATACCCATCTATCTGCTGCAGGAATCTATGCACCACACCCCAGTAAGGTCATAAACTCACAGGATGGTTTGGGTTGAAGGGACCTTAAAGCTCATCCAGTTCCAACCCCTGCCACAGGCAGGGACACCTTCCACTAGAGCAGGTTGCTCCAAGCCCCTGTGTCCAACCTGGCCTTGAACACTGCCAGGGATGGGGCAGCCACAGCTTCTCTGGGCACATCAGGCTGCAAAGCAGCTCTCCGAGATGTGCGGATTTGTCCTGCATGATCGCTCCTCTCATCACACACCAGCCCAGTGCGTGCTCAGAGGTAGCTTTCATCTGCAGGTTTCTCTTCTTGCTGTACCTCCCCAGTCAGTCAGAGTCCAGGTGAATGAACACTGCTCATGAACACACCATCCCCACCCGCCTCTCTCCAGGACAGGTTGAAACACGGGCTGGGACCGCACAGCCAAGCCCCAGGACCAAACCCGAAGCTGGTTTTCACACGACATGCAGAGAACGCTGTCTGGGTCCTCAGGAGCACTTGGAAGTGAAGAATACCAGGAATATGCCTCACAGCTACCAGTATGTTCACACAGAGCAAGGTGGTGTTTGAGGGAAGCCTTGCTGCAGAGCTCAGGCTGTGTGAAACCTCAGCAAGGAGCTCTCCTGAAGGTCAGGCTTACACATTCACACAGTCTGGTTACACACACATGTGGCTCTGGAACCAAAACAGGTCTGAGAAGCTTCCCAAGATGACCTTCACCTTTTCCAAATAGCAAGCCCTCCCTTTCTCTCTCCCAAGACTGCTTTCATAATATAATTTAACGCAGCTGCACAGGTTGCTTGGCAATAGAGGTCAAAAATAATTAGCTGCAGGGAAACTATTGTTTGGAATGACTGCATTATCAAGAGCCAGCCAAATCTATTGCTTCTTCATTATGCCACTCACAGGATAAACAATGTAAGCTGCTTACAGCCAGAGCTTAGCCTCCACAAGCCTAGGAGGAACGTATAAAGAACTTGGTTGTGATAAAACAGATCTGTACACTACAGAAAGCACCTGGGAGGTGCAAACTAGGATGTTTTGAAGTGTGTTGTGCAGCCTCTCTTATCTGACACCAGGACAGACATGCACAGCCCTAGAGATACCATCCAAAACATTGCTTTTAGGAGAGATCATCCTACCTGTGAGCAGCATCAGGATCTGCTTTGCGATGGGACCGCTTTGGTTTCAGGATCTGGTCCCGGTTGCTCCCCGATAGACGCTCAGAGTTATAACCTGGTGGCAACACAGAGCTACTCAGGGATTTTGTTTCCAATCGAGGTGCATCTAGTCTTGTTCTGCAAATATTTAAAGAGAAGAGAATTTGCAAGGAGTTTCTACTGAACCACTAGTGTGCTGCAGCAGGTACCTGCCCTAGATGTGCTGAATAACCTTCAGCCCCAGCCACACAGCTCAGGACTATTATGCTCAACAACAGAACAAGCTGCAGCTTTCTGGCACTTGAACCTTCAGCTTCAGCCTTTGCTGCCTTGGTTAGAGGGACACGTGTAGTTATGAGGTGAATACAAATGGTGCTGCGCTCATCAGAACACCAGTTATGGGATAGAGGCACTGGAGCACTTGTGAAATCCTATGAAATCACAGTGACTCGTCGATAACTCACAGCTCCTGTGAAGCCACCTGTGAAATTCGTCATCACCTACATCAGTAATAACTGCTTCCACGTGGAAACTCCCTCCTGCCTGGAGTTCTCATGGGGTCAGGCGTTTCTCAGCTTGACTAAGAGGTTTAAAGAGTTGCAGCACGAGTCAGGAGAAGGTCTAACCAAGAGAAGCTGCACCCACATCCCTTCCGCAGCACAGCACACGCTCAAGCAACACCAGAGAGCAAACACAGCTCGTCCCAGAGCAGAGCTTTCACTGGCACAGGCTCTGTTGTAGCCTTGCACACATGGAGGGAGGCAGCAGGAAGGAACACTTGATGGTGCAGTTCATCACAGTGCTATCACCATCTCACAGCACAGTTACTATCTCAACTTACAAGCTCTGCTAAAACACAGACTGAAGCCTAAGAACGGGCAAAACATGCTACAAGGTGGTGCTTGGTGCTCCAGAATGCCATCTCCAGGAGGATCCAAGCCACTTCCCAGAAGGAAAGGCACCCTGCTACTGTTGTTGCAGCCTGTCTCCCTCCTTTGGCTGAGAGGTGAATATGTAAGAGGTTAGGGTGATATAAAGGGGAGAATCACTACTTGCTCTCTAGTGCTGAACTTCAGCACCTGAGGGAGGTTTCCACAGAAGAATCCCAACCTAAAATCCCATTAGGAAGTACATCCAGTTGCCAAACTTCCTCTCTGCTACCATGAGAGCCTGTTCAGTGAAGCAGGGTGATGCCGGGCTGGCAATTGTGAAACTGAGCAGACCAGCCCTACTCCATCCAGCATGCCAGAAACAAGGAACACTTCCACAGGCAACTGCCTGCTTTAGTCCACAACACCATCATCCTGAGTTGTTCCCAGCTCCAGGACTGGACCCAGTCCAGGCAGAAGACCAAAGGCATTGTGGATCCTGCCCTGGACAAGTTATGTGGTTTAAATACCTCTCAAATTCAACAACTACAGGCCTGCAATTAAAACAAACCACCGAATGTACTGCAAGGGCAAAGGAACACCAGCCATGCTCACGCTGTCCACAGAGCAATGCAGCTATGAGCTCCAGGAGCAAGACACTAAAATGGAGAACAAACCACCTACCAAAGTCCAAGTTAAATAGAATAACTCTGATGTAACTGCTTACACATGGCAGCATAAGCCCTCTAAAATGACTTTCAAGACCCAATTCAATAGGTCTCATTTCCATCCTGCCTCCCACGTTACCTCCTTCAGCATCTCATGAAAGAGAGCACCGCTCCTCCCTACTCCAGCCTCTTGCTCCAAAAGCTTCCAAACCTGTCTGTCTCCTCGCAGTCCTGCACTCCAGCACGCAGGGAACACTGTAAATATCATCACTCTACAGCACTGAAGTGTTTATGACCTACTTGGTAACCACATTGCTCCCGAGCATCCTGCAAAACCCAGCCACTTCTCCAGCTCGTGCCGTTTCATTCTGCCACTGCCAGCAAAAACCATCTCTAGATCCACACACTCTAAGTACAGGCAAGAGCAGATCCAGATGTCTGGGACCCAGCAGGCTCTGGCAGCCTAATCAGAGCCAAATATCCCAGCTCCAGGCTGCAGCAAAGCTTTGCTCTACACCCCAACTGATCTGATCCTGCTGGAAAACTCAGGGTTGATCCTTACCACGAAGATGAGGAAGAGGAGTTTTATGTCAGCTGCTCCCAAGCCTCTCGTGCTAACAGGCTACCACTGGAAGTAGCTGTTTTCCTGCTTGCATAACACACGATGTCAGACTGCACAAAGTCGCATGATCCAGGAGTGGGGAATGGCATTTGCTGCAGGAATACATGCCGCGGGGATGCGAGTGCAGAGGAAGGTCACCGCAGCCCTGCTGTGCATGCATGCATGCATGCACATGAGATGCCATCACAAGGGAGAAGCAGCAATTAATAAGCTCTATTTGGCAGCCATCAGAGTGCACCCTTTGCCAACCAGGCGATTGCCATGTATCCACCAGGCTGCTGAGCTCTGTGGAGATTACACATTGAGAATTACCAGGGGGTTTCCACTGTGCTCAAGAGAAAAAAGCCTGTTGTGGTTTCATTCAGCCTCCCATTGCAGAGACACTCCTGCTCTAACACTAAGCAAATCAGGCCCCTAAAACGAGGGGAAGTCAGAAGGACACACTGCTACAGGATGGCTAAGCAAAACCAGCCAATACGCTCTGCTAGGAGCTAACAGGCTTTGTCTCTTCAGCAGCCATGCACCAGGTCAGCCGGGTGCTTCTCTGCAGCTATGTGTTCACCCAGTTGCACATTGAGGGCAGTCAGGCAAGACTGAAACAATATGACACCCTCAGCTTATAGAAGATGGCAAAAACAAGAGGAAGAGCCAGTTTAAACAAGTGTGTTGGATATTTGCATCATTTGGGCAGCTTTAGCTTATTTAGCCAAGCCTGTCTTTCTGAGGGAACTGCTCCACAGCCTGGGACAGGCAGCTTCCCTATCCCAAAGCCCAACTAGAGCAGCTACTAGATTTGGAAGTGCTTTCCACTGGTGTTTATCAGCACTCGCACTGCTTGCCATTGGCTGCAGTAAGCAACAACATGAAGGTAACAGCCTTTTAAGTTCTTATCACAACCCTTAAACCCCACGTAGCAATAAGCAGCTATTGAGTGGTTTGCTTCTAATCTGTCTTTCATCCCACTCTATCACCTGCCACATCTCATCCTGCCTCCCCAGGTCTGTGCTGATTTTGCCTGGCTGATGCCTCAGGGTTGATGTTTTCCTTGCCTTCATCTCACGGGTCTCTCTAACCAGATGTCCAACTCCACTCCACTGGCTTTGGGCCATATCTTCACAACGTTGCCAAACGTGTTCTGAAACCAACTAAGCCATCCAAAAGCTCAGCAAGTCTGAATCTAGACCGCTTCTCTGCTAGCCTTACGCTAGCCTGGGCAACTGCAGCCCTGCCACCAATGCCCACGCTTCCAGTTGGGTTTATAGGACTCAAATTGTATGTTTTCACTTGCAGAAAGATTTCTTGACAGCAGAATTACTGCTAACACCTTCTAAGGCACAATCAACACGGGTCAGCGTGTGGCAGTCGCATTTTTGCATCTCCTAGGAGAAGGAACTGACGAGAGAGGACATTTCTGGGCACAATAAAAAGTTACAGTGAAGGAGTTTGGGGAGGGTTGGCTTATTTTTTATCCATTTTCTTAGAAGCTTTAGGAACAAGCATTGGTTGATGAAATGCCATCAAGACAGTGCATCTTCTAAACCAGCTTACAGAGCCTGGCTTCCCAACAGCAACTTGAAGGACAAGCTCTGTAAAGTGATCACTAAATTCACTGCATCTGTTTCCCTTCAAAGCCATGCTATGAAGAAAACTTCACCTGCTTCAGAGCAGACTCTTCATCGTAAGCATCAGCTCCAAAGGACCACGCAGGTAACTCACAGATGTGGGTATCGTATGATCAGACACTTGAATACATGGCCCCAAACAAGAGTTTGAAACCCTAGCTGTTTGGAGCTAGGCAGGCAACGAAAGCCAGGTGTTAGGACACAAACAGGGCTTGCAAACCCAGGCATTACAATGAAGTACTGCTGCACAGAGCCAAGAAGTGATTAACTCTGCAGTAACAAGTTCCACCTACTTCCACCATGGGTACGGCAAGGCACAAGCGAGCATGAGAGTGACATCTAATCAAGATGTAAGATCAAGCCAGCAAATTAACAAGCGAGGCAGTTTTAAAGTGTTGCTTTAAAAGCACATCACGCCACCACATCCGAGTTTATCTCAGTGTCCAGAGGGCTTCAACACTTACTTTCGAAGGATGATGACAGCTCTTCTCTCCTTGATGTCCTGTGGTCGAATACAGTGTGTAATTTCATCAGCTGCATAGCCACTGACAACAAAAACAGAAAGCCACTGTGAGAAAACGATAGGTAGAAAGCAGCCTCAGCAACTCAGT